CCTCATGAAATGCAGATCTCCAGATCTGCCCAGTGTCCACACCTATAGTAGAAATCGCGGAGATCAATCGCCCGAACTTGATCTTGAGCGGTCTTTTCTTTAGAAACTGGTAGGGTTTAAGTGTTGTTCGATTGCTAGCCATGCTATGAGAGTACTGTCGCCTTTGAAGAGCTTCCTATAGACGGAAAATGTCTTCTGTACTGATAAAAGCTGAAATAAATACATAAATTTTGAAATGTCAACACGGTAATTAAAGTGGGCAGGGCTACCTGATGTGTAGAGAACTTCTGACGCTGACATTGGTGGGTGTAACGTAGTAGCTTATCTACTTCTTACCTTACCTGTTCCTGATTCTGGTGGGAAGATACGGTAAGGGATCGCAATAACACTGTTATACTAATGTTCCTGGAGGGCAAGCGGAGCATGGCTTTCCCTATGCTGCTAATTTTGTCCAATTCATTGGGATAATCAAAACGTAGTTCACCGATACGCCAGGCCGCATAGACTTGTGAACTTCGGACGGCATTGACCCAAAGCGGATCTAGATGAGTGCGGATTCATTTTCGGTTCCCTTTGTAATCCTTGTGACGCTTGATATGCTTCGAATTTGTTGTCGTCCGCTTCGAGGTAGAAACCAATGTCAGGCGCTAAAATTAAACGATTCATTTCAACAATTGCTTTACTTTTTTTGGATGTGCAGCAATCTGAGATCTACTCAGTTTACTGAAAACTTTATTCTCTGAAACTTTACAAATACTAGAGACCATGCTATGCTTTAAGCTAAAGTTTGTTATAATATCGTCCACGATATTCGTTCAACTGGCCAGAAGGCGGCCTCATCTGTGGAACGTGGCGAGCTTTCCTTGGTCTTGAATATGTGTTACGCTTAATGAAGCTATCATCTTCTATGTACAATCTTTCTTGGAAATTTGGTACTGGGCCACAACAGTGCGCTACACGCCTTCCTTGAACGCATTCGTAGCCGTATGGGCAGAATCTGAAGGTGAAAAAACTTTTTGTCAAAGTCAAATAGGGTAAGTATCGTTTCATTGAGAGGTTGATGATGGATCTGTTGATTTTCTAACTTTATAACCTTGTAACCGTTACCTGTGAGCGCAGCTTTTACCAATCCACACCTCTTCACCGTGAGATACAGTTCGTTTCAGTATTTCACCGATACGACAGGGTGGTTGACGAATTTCATATTCCCATTGCCCTGAAATCAGTTATGAGTTATCACGATGGCAGGAAATGTTGATAGATTTGTCCAAGATGCCAAAACGACTTTCGAGCTTACTTTCATTAGCGCTATCACAACATAGTCCCACTCCTAGTGCTCCTATCACGCAAGTGCTGCCAAACGGGCATCTCATGTCCTTGTCGCTACAGCTTCCTCGTGGTTTCTTGTTCCCTCCGCAGGTGAACTTGTCGGCTGTAAATTCGTTCAGAGACACAGAAGCGAAATTTAGTGTATTGATATCAAGGATATAGGAGGGGTAGTGGTGCGGCTTCACGGTCCACGAACCGTCAAGAACCAGGTCCTGCATGGAAACTCGCTCAGAATGACCAAGTTTTCCGCCTTGTGGAGGTCAATAAGCTGGTATCAGAGTCGTCCGGGAAAATAAAAGTGCTGACCCGGGCATCAATTGGCCCTGACTTTACTAATGTACTAATGTAGATGTTTCCTATGCGTATTCGACGACATTACCTACTCCCCAGGAATTGATACATGGGTGAGACTAAAGACGTGGCTTCCTTAGAAAAGGATTTGATTAAAGCAGTAATTTAATTGTTTACTCTTCCACATATATAATATTATAAACAGACAAAAAGTAAAGACATCAGATTTCAAGGCAGCCAGCCATTGGTGTGGGATCGATTTCTCAACCACTCAGTGACTGCCTGTTGTGGTTTCCTTTTCAGGCACCGACTAAGTACCCAGCCCTAGCCCTCAATTCCCTCATTTACCGTTCATTTACTTCACTCTAGAGAAGCAGTGAGATTCTGAATTTTGAAAGTTGATATTCAGTGAATATATCCGAACGAATTCAGCAAATGTTTTATGTGACCAAGTCATTGTAGATTATTTTTGAGCCGCGGAGCAAATACCCCGGGTACTTACTGAGGAACACATGTCACTCACCTGGAATACAGGTATTTCTGCATTGGGATTCTGTATAGAAAGTATTCCTTCCACCACCGCATCCTTCATAGAGATAAGTGAAGCACCGCTCAAGTTCTGGATCGAAAAAGAACTGAAATAAGAGGTTTAAAGATCGACCACATGATCCCATTGGGGAAAGGTATCAAATGTGAAGTGTGTGGGCGAGCCGTCACGGAAACCATGGGCTTCGATTGAATAGCATTCTGTGATTTGTGCTGTTGGCAGGTATCCAAAATTGGTCAGTAACTTTCAGTATGAGTAACATAGTCACGATCATTGAAGAGATTCAATTTCTTCTGGCTTAATAAGGCCAGGTTGGTACTGCCTAGGGTAATAGCATTGTGAATGCGTTTTACCCCAAATGTGAAGGCAAAAACCGACGGGAGCCGTAGGCCCACAGATGGAGCCCTCACTTATGTATCCAATGTTAGGGTATGTGACCGAGTGGAACTGGGAATGTACGCGTTCTGACTATCCCTGTGAACTTACTTCCCGAGCTGCGATGCCGATCTCCCCTTATTCCATTTTTAGGCGTGTTTCACATCAGTAGGCGGATTTCACAATCCCATCTCTCACGACATCATTGCCTCTTTCTTCATTCCTTTCCTGCGTTCTTTCCCGAGTCCACCGCAAAAGAAAAGAAAAAGGAAGAATTACTTCGGTATGTGCTGATCGGTGATGGTTCCGATGTCGGTGTCGATTGTGAAGGGTCTATGAGGTCTATTCTTTCGAAAAATGAAACCCGAATGGGACGACAGTGTCCGTTATTTTCGATTCTTTTCTTCTTTTACTTCCTTTCCGAATATTTTTGACTACGAGGTCATACGTCGTTCGGCTTGGAGGCGAACAACTTTCTTGTAGCGCAAATGATCAATTTATGTGATACTTAATTCAGTATGTGCAGTGAAGCGGCCATCGACGTTCTGTACAACTTGAGGTCCATACTTGCCACATACACGTTCTACATGAGCTTTGTTGCACCTTCTCGGTCCAAACTTCGTCAGTTCACTTCTGAGTTCACTGCAGAAGGATTGGGAGGAATTTCGTCGGAAGAAAATGCAGTTGTCGATGACTATGGGTTCAAAAAGGGTTATCTAAACTTAGCCACCCCCGATTCGGCGACTTTCGCTGGTTTTTTCTCGATATAACCTGCTCGAAGGCTTTGTTATGTAATCAAATTAATCAAGGCTTCCTTTCCAAGCTTGGCACAACAAAATATGCAACTGTAGGTTTCTGAAACCCGGAGTGAAGTCTTCTAATAGCTACCCAATCCGGCATAGAAAACATAGCTGTTCAATCTCCCATATGGGAGAAACGATGGATGATCTTGCTTCTGTCTAGCCAAAGGACGCGGTGCACCAACCCGATGCCAACGGGGTACTGATTGAAGTCTGGATGGTACCGACAATGCTGTTCCTTCGTCGGTTGTACAAACGATGAGCCTCTACCACTCAAAAACTTAAGAAGTGTATGTGGACACCTTTATTTGTGCCATTTTTATGGGATCATAAAATGAAGTGAACCTACTCGAATCGAATTGTTCGGCATGGCGCAACACGCATCGCCTCGGTCCAGCTTCGTTGTACACGTCTCGAAGGTG